AAAAAAAAAAAATCCATGGAAAATCAAAGTAAAATTTTCTCCTATATTATGTATTTTATAATTTCTGTAGTTAGAATTTTGAACTTTCAAGATTATGTATTAATTATTTTAGTCGATAAAAAAATGTATTAATTATCCTATATTTAGATTGAGAAAATTTGAGGGGAGGGAAATTTATCTTTCCATTCATTCCCCTCATTCAGATAACTAATTAAATTAAAAAAAAAAAATGAAAATTTTCCCTTCCCTTCTTCTCTAATCTTTTTTTTTTTTTTTTTATAACTAAACAATTTTTTTTCCCTTTACCTCTCTTTAACCCAAATATACTGTTAGGGTTATAATATTAAAATATTGGTTTAAATATTAGGGAAACTACGTTCAGGTGGAGAGATCAACAAATCCCAACCAAACCTTAATTTTTTTGGTTTGTCTTTTTATTAATGCTAACTAAAAGTTTATAAAAAAAAATATTGCTAACTAGAACAGAAAAATAAAATCAGTCAAAAAATTTGTCTATTTTAAAAATAGGGATTTATTTACACAAAAATCTTATATATTATAGTTATATAAAATCTTAACTATTTATCTTTTTACATTTAATAGTTAAAATTTGTCATCACTTTTTAATTAGATAAAAAAATATAATTATCTTTTATAAATATAAATACATTTTAATAATTAAAAGTAAAAAGATAAATTATTAAAATTTTATATAAATATAATAAAATTTTTTTATATAAGTGGATCATTATTCTTTTAAAAATTAAGAAAGAAGGAAAAGAGAAGGAAAAATAAACGATCTATCCAAAGGAAACATCAGCGAGTGCGTTTGTTTGTTAGTCAAGATTTTTCGAGACTTCGAGTCCTACAAATTTGATTAACTAAAATTTTCCTCTAATTTTGGTGTAAATAAAAAATTTCATTAAATAAATATAAGAATACCATACTTTGCACTATAAACCCTAAACAATCGTAAAATTAAAATTTTTATATAAAAAAAACTTTTAATATTAAAAAGCTCTTTCTGCATTTAAAAGTTTAAATTTTACAATTAATTGCAATCTAAATCACAAGGCATCTTTTCGTAAGCATAAAGCACACATATAATTAGTTTTTTTCTTCCTTCATGAGTGATGACTCTGTTACCTGGAACCTATGAATGGTGCAGCCGCCCCGCTCGTATCTAATGAAAGATTTCTGATTTCAACAGGTGTATTATACTATATTTGTACTGTCACGGGTTTATATTATTTCATCTAATAATAACTGTAATGCAAATGTCAAGAACACTTTTGATGATAAAATTTCTCGTCTTAGGGAAAAATTTTTTTTTGTTGAAACACAAATGTTGTAGTAGTACGTAGAAGAATTTTCACTGTAGACTTTATTTGGGATGTGTGGATAAAACTGTTTTTAAGTTCATTTGAGACTAACTGATCCAAATTTTCAAATGCTTGTGTCATTAAATTAAGAAAAAAGACAATCAACTATTTAAATAATTTAATAATTTTTTTTATTTGAAAATAAGAAATTATGAATTTGAATCGCATAGATGTGGGTAAGGTAGAATAAAGGATGAGAAATATTTGCTTTTCATTGTGCAATCAAAATAAAAAATAAAAAAAAAAAAGAAAGAAAGAAAAACCTACTGCCAATCGTCACAATTTTTTTTTTCCCCGGCAAACACCATATTTTGTTAATTTTATTATTATTATTATTATTATTTAATGATGATTTCATAGCAGGTAATGGATATGGGCCACATGGCCTTTGAGGGCAAATCTTACGTCCCTTCTAAGTTCTAATACTCTTACAAGTCCAATCTTGGCCCAAAGATTGACATTGGACAATCTAAGTTGCTAAAGCCCGATCAAGTGGTAAGTCCAACCTGACAGTGACTATCATTCCTCTTCTATCATTGTATATTATACCAACACCCTATTAAGCATTAAGCGAATGGAAAGAGAGTTCTACACCCCAAAAAAGAAAAAAAACAAGAAATGAAGTAAATGAAAAGAGATTTTACGTTTCTGTATAGGTCTACATACAATTGGGAACAAACCGCTGATTTTCTAAACTATTTTTCGTTCTTATGATGTGGGATCAAAGAAACTCTTAAATTTGTTTTTCAAAATAAATTATCTATTATTGAATATATAATGTTATTATACGTTAATTTTTTTATTAAAAATATATTTAATTGACAAATAAATTTTTAATATGTGATGATATTACATGATAAATAATAAATAATTTATTTTTATTATTTTTTAAAAAATAAATCTATTCTTATCTTTTTTATTTGAGGAATAAATTTGAGAATTCTATTTCAACAAAAGGCATTCAATTTAGAAACCCTGCAAAAATGTTGTACACATAATTAAATACCCAAACAAAATCGACAGAGAGAATTTGAATACCAATCGCGAAGACAAAACCCTTAATTCTTCAACCAAGAATCCAAAAGTGCAGAGGAGGTCGAGACTTGGATGAGATTGGAGTAACTTCGATTTAGGGAAGGAGGTCGGGCCGTCGAAGAGATCGAATCAGGGCATGGAAGAGAAGAACGGAGGAGGCTATTTTGGTGATCTGAGGTTGCAAAGAGAGGCATTGATTTTTGCACCGTTGGGTTTTAGGGGCAACCATTATGAGTATACCAGTTATTGCAAGTATCTTTATCTGTGTAGATAAATATTATATTTGAATTATAAAAAAAAATTAAATAAGTGGTAGATATGAAAAAAATATATCCATAAACATAAAATTAAGTAATAAATATAAAAATTTAAAATTATTTATTTGACTTGTTTAATCTATTTGTTTAATTGATCTATATGTATATAATTGAAAATTTATATGTATTTATTATATTTAATATTTATATAATAACAATAGTTTTTAAAAATAAAAATAATAAAATATAAAAATAAAAATAAAAATCAAGTAAATACTGTAAGCTAAATAAATCACAAACTTAGCAATAGCACCCGTATAAGGCATTTTCTTTCTTTAAGCCAAACACATAAATATGTATCTATAAATTATATAATATCTATTGGATTAAATACTAAATATAAATATTCAAATATTTAGGTAATTTTTAAGTCTACAAAGCTATCCTAAAAATTTTAAAATTAAATACTAAATATAACTCATTTTAAATTTGTTACAAAAAAATGCTCACTCTTATTGGGTTTGTCTTTCGATTGAGGCTTGTGGGTTCAAATTTTTACACTGACCCAATTGCGATGTTGGACAATGGAAAGGGTCAAGACTAGGTGTTCAACTTGGGCCCAGACCCAGTTCATTATGACGTTTCAATATTGGGCATTTGGGCTGAGCTGACAGGTTCTCCAAATTCAAATTCCCTGAAAATAGCGTTTGACAAAAGCTGCATGCTTTTATTTGCCGGTAACTGATAGCGCTTCTTTTATGATACACGATTACGAAGCCATGAGAAAGTGTGAAACCAGATTCAATAATAGAGAAGTTTAATTTAATCGTTGAGAAGAGAAAAAAGCCTCCACTCTACCAACCTCCTTTTTTAGATAAGGAAAGGCCACCAACCCAATATGACTTTCATCATTCAGCTAGTTGGTCGGTAGGAAAAAAAAAAAGTCAAGAAAAGAAAAGGAAAGTCCAAATTTGTTTTCCAAATAAAATTTTGGATGACAAGTGGTCATCCAATTTTATTAAAAGCATCATTTTGGTCTCTTTAACACATAAGTATAACAAGATGGTCACCTAATTTCTCAAATTATCTGTTTATTACTTACTTATAGTTGAAATTAATAAAAAAAAAACATAAAAGATAGTTAAAATGCTTGAGTTAAATGCCACGAGAGACCTGACATGACATCACATAGCTAATGTGGTAGTCCTTGGTGGGAAATAATTTTGAAATGGAGTCAAGCATGTGTTAAACGAAATTAAAAGGATAATGAAAGTTTTTTTTTTTTTTTTCAACATAGGGTGGGAATTGGGGGGTGGGGGAGGTACTTTCAATAACCTTGGTGTGTTTGAAATCCCAATCCCAACCAAAGAGGTCAAGGAACTAAGGCTTAGGGGGTTGAGCCAAGATGATTCTTTTTAACATTAAAAAAAAAAAAAAAACTAACGATCTCTTAGTTTGAGTAGAAAGAATTCGATTTTCATTAATTGATGTCTTAAGTTTGAATTTTGTAAATAAAAAAATAAGTATTGAGAAATATATTTTTTTTTATAAGATTCAACGTGACTTAACTTTAAATTAGTCGGGATTTAACGTGACTTCTAGATATAGGGATTAATTAAAAAGAAGAAGAAGAGAGAAACAATGGATGATTGGCTTATTGTTGTTGTCATGCAAAACCCTACATTAAGCCCTTAATCTTACCTTAAATTCTTGATTAAGGCCTTGAATTTTTATTAAACTAAATAAGTCCCTAAAGTTAACAATATGGTTAATTTAACTATTTTCTTTATAGTAGATTTAAACTTTATTTGTGTTTTCTTTAATAAATAAAATATTGATGTGTCATTACTTATGTAGTAAATATTGATTTTGACAGTTTATTCACATAAATAAAATATAAATGAGCATTAAGTTGGTAATGAGAAAAAAGGTTATATTGATCAAATTGTCAAATTTAAAGATTTATGTAATTCAATAGAAGTTTAAAGACTTAATTGATAAATGGAGGTGTTTTTCATTGTTATTGGCGGCGGAAGGTATTTATTTGGGTGAATGTGGTCCCCTCGCTCGCGCGCATACATACACACAAAATCCCATATTTTGCCTTCGTTAGGCGCCTCTTCTCCTCTCCTCTCCTGTCCTCAACCTCCAAATCCTCTCCTCTCCCTGCTTCTCATTTCCGGACCATCCCTCATCACATCCTCGGCGGCGCATCTCACATACTCGTCTTCTCTCTCCGTCCGTCTTATGCTCTGAGGTTTGGATCTTCACCTCTCATGTCTTCTTCTTTCTTCCTATTTACTTTCCTTTGCAAGATCTGCTAATGCATTCTGAACGTCTCCCGCTTCGCTTCGCATTTTTCTTCAATTTTTTACGTTTAACTGAAGGACAGTACTTCGATGATCTTATTCCCGATTGTTCTTTCTGCTCTTTCGAATACTTAGATTAAGTTTTATGGGGTTTGAATGGCCAATTAAGCTGATTAACAGTTGAGGTATTTAGATTTAGAGATCCTATAAACGTCTGTGTTTCCATGGTTATTCATCATTTGAAAGCGTGGGGAAAACTATTAAAGTTGTATAGTAATCTGTTTATCCTTATTTTGATTTTATTTATGCTAATTTCATATTCCAGTCTTATGCATCTATCCATTACCGACGAATATATGCAAATAGATACAAACTCATTCGGATAGAGAATGGGACTTAATCTTAGAAAATGATTATTTTGTATATTTTATTTGGTTTGTCTATATAATGGACAAGTTCAGCTGCTGATTTGATTTCTTTGTAGAATTTTATGTGGGAGAATTAGTGCCTTGTGTGGCTCTATGGTGACATGTTGTGGAGAAAATATTTATTTAAGCTAAAAATTTCTGCGATATCTAATCTGGGGAATTCTTGCTTAATTTCTAGAGGGTGCAGACAAAGGGAGCTTTTGTGCACTTTATTGGCACCTTTCAAATTCCCCTTGTGAGAGAAAAAAATGAATTTCACTTTGAGTTCATCTTCTTTGGAGTTTGCATGTTCTTCGGTAGAAGGTTTGAGGAGTGCAAATGCAAAGTTGCTGATGTCTAAACCCATTTTAAGGGTTAGCGATTGCATTAAAAGTCATTGTGCGCAAGCATCTTACCCTTGTGCTAGAAAAGTTGTGATGTCAAGCCATTTGATGCCCAGACACCTAGAAAGATCCTTTGTGGGCAAAAAACAGCTGGAGGAGCCTAGAAGGAAGCTTGATTTTGTGAGGACATTGTTGATTGACAATTATGATAGTTACACCTACAATATTTATCAGGAGCTTAGTGTCATTAATGGGGGTAAGTTCCCTCTCTCTCTCTCTCTCTCTCTCTCACTCACACACACACACACACACACAAACACAAATGTATGTCCTTTTGTGGTGAGTCCCAGTGAAGTTCTGAGAAAAGTGTTTAAACATGACATTTATGGGCAAATGAAGATAATGAAAAAATGTCATGTTATTAAAATTGTATTATCCACTTTAATGAAACATATTCTTCCTTGTTACTGAGGATGTGCTTGTTGTTAACATCTTTCTGCCTGGATTGTAATTTGCAGTGCCTCCTGTAGTTGTGCAAAATGATGAATGGACATGGAAAGAAATCTGCGATTTCTTGTATGAAGAGGGTGCATTTGATAATATTGTTATATCTCCTGGACCTGGTTCTCCAACATGTCCAGCAGATATAGGTGAGGTCAATTAGATAGAGTAGTACCTTAGTCTCCAAATCATTGAAATTTGACAACATTTTTATTTTCAAATATTGAATAAATAGAGGAGTGGAGTGAAAGAGTTTATAAAAGCTTTCACTGAATATTTTGACAGCCACATGGTGTTTCTATTTCAGATATTCAGTTAGTTTCTAAGGTTTTTATTCAACATTTTATAGATCACTTCAGTTTACAAATAACTATGGATGATTTACATATGTGGTGCTGGTATTGGGTTGATTTAGTATAAAGAGATATATCTACTGATGAATATATGTATGAGTTCCTAGTTAGACTGTCTGAAATGTTAGTAAATTTAGTAACTTCTTAAATAATTGAATGCAAATATTTGAGATCACTTTGATTTGGTCCGTCCAAGAGTATTTTTCAAGTTTTGCTTGTGGTCTACCACTTCTTGATGATGTCTTACAAACCACTTCAACCTTACAGGAATATGTCTTCAAGTGCTGCTTGAGTGCTGGGATGTCCCTGTTCTGGGTGTTTGCCTCGGACATCAGGTACTCATTTGAGTTTGCAATGTGGACATTCTCATATTCTTTTCTTTTCTGAGTTGTTCACTAACATGCATATACCTGTATATTACCATGTTCTACAGTCTAGGTAGCTTTCAATTGGAGCTTTTCTTCTTAATGTTCATTGTTAAGATATCTGCTGTATTATTCAATCTAAGATTCAATATATTCTATTAAATAAATTTCTAGAGAGTCTCTGGTAAACAGGCTGATTAATACTGGATCAAATGGGTATCTGAGGGTTTAAGTATTGAAAAGATGTGAGAGTAATTGATCTCAAGGATACCCTTCATGCACCATACCTTCTAAAAATCAGTCCTTTTGCTATGTCTTGTCATGCATATTTGACCTAATGACTTCTGACTTGACAGGCTTTAGGTTATGTTCATGGTGCTCGTATTGTTCATGCAGATGAACCTGTCCATGGACGCTTAAGGTATGGTAAAATGAAAATCAAGGTTGCCTGCTTGTTGTTGATGTTTATTTTGTCATCTTATTTTGTCATTTTATTATGTTTTCCATGCCTCTTATGCATTTCCTTGTTCTGTACAGTGAAATTGAACATAATGGTTGCAGACTGTTTGATGATATTCCTTCTGGCTGGAACTCAGGTTTTAAGGTCTGTCTTCCATTATCTTGCTGAAAGGGCTGAATTTATAAAGCTTGCCTTCTATTGGAATCATACTTTCTGGTTGCCATGCAGCTATTTAAAACAATAATTTTCTGTGCTCATCATTCTGTCTTAATTCTTATCACATTTGTACACTTTACAAATGGAACAGGAATGGCCTTGATGTGCAAACACTATTTCATTTATCTTGCACTAGCAAGCTTTGATATGGAAATTAAGCTTCTATTGGTTATGATTTCATAACAGGTGGTTCGATATCATTCCCTTGTTATAGATGCAGAATCATTGCCAGAACAGCTCATACCAATAGCTTGGACCTTGTCTGACAACACACTCACAGGTGCTTATGGAAGTCAGGCACAGCAGGATAACTTGGATTCTATTTCAAGAAGGTTGAAAAATGAAAATTGCTGGCTTTGCAGCCATGCTAATGGAATACAAAGCAGAAAGGTTCTCATGGGTGTCATGCATGCTACCAGACCTCATTATGGTGTGCAGGTATGCTCCTAGGTCATCTTATTTAAATCAATGCTCTCCTTCTCTTTTATCTTCTGTGTTTTTCTTGACTTGCTTCGAATTCTAGTTTCATCCAGAAAGTGTTGCAACCTGTTATGGGAAACAGATCTTCAAGAACTTTAGAGAGATTACTGAGGATTATTGGTTAAGGATGAGATCTCCACGCATTAATGACAAAAAATTTTGTAATGCTGGTAAATCAGACCTCCAGTTTCTTGTATTACGAAATTTTTATTTTTTCTTCTCTTTTATATTTGCTCCCCACAAATACATTATATGTGGGCATGTGCACTGGAGAGATTAGCTACAGTGTTTCCAGTATAAAAAATAAAAATTGCAGGTCATTATGATGGTATCTTGAGTAAGTGTTTGAATTATACTATAAATATTTTCTCATGCGCTGAATCAGTTGACATATCCCAAACTATTGGTGATAGCCCTCATTATTTTGTTATTATTAGTTATTATGTTTGGAATCTAAATTGCAAATGCTGATGGATGGTCTTGAGTACTGTGTTTATATATAGATTAATATTAGGTTATGGGAAAGCATATGCCACCTGTGATACCTCTGAGCAGTAAAATTGTTTTAGCACCCATGCAGGTGCCCCACACAGGTCGACTGTTCAGAGAAGTTCCTGAAAACGGGCAATTAGTGAATGGCACTGGTGTCCGGCATTATGGAGAAGCTTCTGCTAGTAGGCAATTGGAATATGATGTGGATAAAAATGGTTTTGGCATTCTTGATATGGTAAATCTTAAACCTGTAAGTGCTGCTTACAAATTTCTAAAGTTGAGATGGAGGAAATTTGATAACTTGGCAAGTCAAGTTGGTGGAGCAAGAAATATATTTTCTGAACTTTATGGAAAGAATAAAGCTGAAAACACATTTTGGTTGGACAGCTCCTCCACAGAAAAGGTTTGTTTATAACTTATTGACATTGTTATGGAAAAGTATTGCAAACAGTGTTTTGATTTTCGTTTCACCCAGTGGATAATTATTCTCTTAAAATGTTCAGGGAAGGGCACGCTTTTCTCTCATGGGCGGTAAAGGTGGATCTCTATGGAAACAAGTAACGTATAGATTGTCAGATCACAGGTTTGAATGGAGATTACTTGCTATTTTGTTTTTTAAATCCTTATAAAGTTTCCAATGATGGTTTTATCTTTTTCCTTGTGAAGTGTTTTCTTGTTTATAAGCTTTCCAGCATTATCATGTGCATCATGACGTAGTAGTTAAGGATTGTATTTTATATAAATTACTTTTTCAGTGATGAGGCTTCAAAATATGGAGGTCATTTGTTGGTTGAGGATGCTAAAGGCTCTATTAGTAGCACATATTTGGATGAAGGTTTTTTTAATTTTTTGGAAAAGGTATTATGGATTTCCTTCTGATTATTTTTTGTTGTTTATTTTTATTAGAACATTAGATTGGAATAGAATCAGCTATAGTTCAGGAGAACTAGGAGAGCCAATTCACTTTTCAGAGAATCAAAGAAAACATCACTTATGTGCCTTCGAGTCATTTTGAAACTTGGTTTATCTGTCATTCTATAATCTTAAACAACTAATTTTAGCTATATTTCTCACCTCTTGATTCATTTCCCAGGAGCTTCTGTCATTCTGTTATGACGAAAAAGATTATGAAGGACTGCCATTTGACTTCTATGGTGGATTTATTGGTTACATTGGGTATGTAGTTAAGTTTATCCAAATGTGTAATTTTCTCATGCATCCTTATTTATTACATCTGATGGTGGCATAAGTCCAATTTCTTTGCTCTGGAACTGTTCTCAAAGTATCTTATTTTGTCCAAGATTGGCATGGACAACTGTTCTCAGCCGTTATCAGCTCTCCTCCTTGCCTGAATGTCCTATTCCATAGTCCAACATACCTAATGACCTCTACAAGTCCTTTAAACTTTATCTTTGGAGTTTGGTTTATTCCTCCTATTGGTGTCTTTAGTGAATTCCGTTTTGCTTTAATGATCAAAGTAATCAGTCACCAAGTTCACTTCCTACCTAAATAGTTATTGTAAATGAACTTATTGATCACATTTTAGCTAAGAGGTTGAATCATATTGATTGGACATGAGTTTTTATCATTTATCATTTTACGATTTCCATGGAACCTTTGTTCCAAATCTGAAAAGTTATTTTTTCTTGTATTGCAGGTATGATCTCAAAGTAGAATGTGGTGCAGTCTCTAATCTTCACAAATCCAGGACTCCTGATGCTTGCTTTTTCTTTGCTGATAATCTTGTAGTTATTGACCATGAATTTGATGATGTTTATATATTATCCATATATGAAGGAAATGCAACCAAGAGCACATGGTTGGATGATACAGAACAGAAGCTTGTCAGCTTAAAGGCTTCTGAGACCGTAAAGTTAGATAAGAATGATTCACATGCTGCAAAGATACCTACATTTAATGCAGGGTTTTGTTTTGAGAAATCCAAAGAGCAGTATACATCAGATGTTGAGAACTGTCTGAAGTACATTAAAGATGGAGAAAGCTATGAGTTGTGCCTCACCACTCAAACTAGAAAAAGCGTTGGGGAAATAGATTCTTTGGGGCTTTATCTTCACCTTAGAGAGAAAAATCCTGCACCATATGCTGCTTGGTTGAATTTTTCAAAGGAAAATTTATGCATATGCTCTTCTTCTCCCGAGAGGTTTCTCCGTCTAGACAGAAATAGTGTATTAGAAGCAAAGCCAATAAAGGGTACTGTTGCTCGGGGTGCAACACTGGAAGAGGATCAACGGCTCAAGTTGCAACTGCAATATAGGTAACTAAATTTTACTTGTCTTTTAAGAGTGTCAGAATTAGCATCTTGTTATTTGCCTTGGTTATAATATATCTGAATTTGTTTTATTTTAAAATTGTCTCCAAAAATGAAGAAGTCTCTAATAATCTAATACAGAAGGAAGCATTCTTGTTATGTATATGGATAAGGATGATGCAATTGAAGGCTAAAAGTGTTTGTTATTTCTTCCTCTATTCTTGTTGACAGCTGACTTTCTCTACCCTTTGGCTCAACAGTGAAAAGGATCAGGCTGAAAATCTAATGATCGTTGATCTTCTGAGGAATGATCTTGGCCGTGTTTGTGAACCTGGATCAGTTCATGTTCCTCGTCTCATGGACGTGGAGTCATATGAAACTGTTCACACAATGGTGAGCACAATTCATGGCAAAAAGAGGTCAAATGTTAGTGCTGTTGATTGTGTCAAAGCAGCATTTCCCGGTGGTTCAATGACAGGTGCTCCAAAGTTGAGATCCATGGAACTACTAGATTCCATTGAAAGTTGTTCCCGAGGTATATACTCTGGTTCCATTGGGTTTTTCTCATATAATCAGACATTTGACCTGAATATAGTGATAAGAACAGTAGTCATACATGAGGGTGAAGCATCAATAGGGGCTGGAGGGGCAATTGTTGCCCTATCAAACCCTGAAGACGAGTATGAGGAAATGATTTTGAAGACACGAGCTCCAACAAAGGCTGTGATGGAGTTTCAATAGCAACTGGTGTAACATTGTAGAATAGTAACATTCTTTGTTGTATTCTTCACGTCCTTCCTCTCAAGATTTCGACAGTCATAGAAGTATACTAGCAACAGAAAACTGCAGCAATACAACATTCCTTATTTCATCGTAGGGCTTCCTCGATTTACTTCCTCAAAACAATAGAACGAGTTGTTCAATACAATGTTGTACTGAACATTGTGTTTGAAATAGAAATTTCTTTTGAGCTGTTCTATTTGTCATGTGGTGAACAATAAATCGCCATTGCTGCTGGAAATGTATTGTCTTCTTACAACTTGTTCTAAAAGGAAGAAATGTTCTGGTTTGGCAAAACTCAAATGAACATTACTCAATGGTTATTGAGGTCAAATAATGTAGCACCTGAAAGTTTCCATTTTTAGAAAATTTTTTGAAAGGGAGCTATTTTTCTGGTGAAAGGTTTAGCATTGTTCATGCCACGGAGTTGAATTCCCAACCTATGACTCCCAAACGGCCCCTGCCTACCGATTTCCCCAAAAATATATATCTGAAGGGAAGGATAAGATTTAAGGCACGTTTGATTAGGGAAATAATTTTATTGGGATAGTGACTAGCAAA